CGAAAGTAATTCCTGAAGGGAACTGGGGCTTTACATAAACCTTCCATTAAGTTCATTGTACACATTTTGCTTATTGTTGCAGTTTGCTTACTGTCCTAAATCTGATTAAGCCAGTGATGCTTACACAATCTCCAAGGACCATTTTTCTAAATCCCTTTGAGGTCATATCACTCTTCTAAAAGCCCAGCCATCTTGGGAAATATTATAAACAATTTAGTTTTATTTTAGCTTTGGAAGAGGGTGAGGCTGTGCTGAGTACCCTGACCTAACCACCATCTGCTTAGAAGTGATATTATTTTCCAGTATATTTCCACTCCATGAATAGGCTGACCTTGGAAGATCATCCAGTGATTCTCTTTTCTACCCCTAGTCAATTGGGATTTGTTGAATTTGGCTGCAGAATCAAACAGGCGGAGTTTATAGATAGACCATGTTTCAATTATTATTATTATTTTACTTTTATTCAATTATTATTAGACTTTTAATTACCAGTCAAAGATAAAGAAGAGGAGGTATGTATTCTTATGGTTTGGGGGAGGAGTTTGGAATCCATTCCTTTATGTCCTTTATGAATTCATTAATGTGAAAGTCTGACATGGTGATTCTCAATTGTCTTTGGTCAGATTGTCATTTTATGGAATTTGAAAATGTGATTTCTTCAGTGTGGGTGCTTTGACCAGTGAAGGAGATGGCAGACCATATGTGCCTGCCCATCTTCACCATTCTTGTCTGTCATCCTATAAATCCCCCCAGTACATCTAACCAGCATGCTAGCTAGACACCTTCTCTTCTTGACATTGCATAAAAATGATAGAGTTGAGCTCGTAGGAGTAGGATCCGTTGGTTAGCATTCATTCTTCCTGCTCATCCAGCCCTGCTTTTTCCCTGGTCATACATTTTTTCCAATGACAACCTTTTTGTTGTTGCTCAGTTGTTTCAGTCACATCCAACTCTTTGTGACCATATTTGGGGTTTTCCTGGCAAAGATACTGGAGTGATTTGCCATTTCCTTCTGCAGCTAATTTTACAGATGAAGACATTGAGGCAAATAGGGTTAAGTGATTTGCCTAGGATCACATAGCTAGTAAGTGTCTGAGGCTAGATTTGAACTCAGAAAGATGAGTCTTCCTGACTTCAGGCCCAGTGCTTTATCCACTGCACCCCTAGCTGCTCCATGACAACTTTTACACCCCTTTATTCTGGAATAAGTATTCTCTTGTAATGAGCTGCAACATCTTTGTATGCGCCATGTGATTCTTCTCCATTGCCCTTTTGGTGAGCACTTAACAAAAATTTATTAAATCTCTATAGTGTGTAAGGTGGATCTTATCATCAATAGAGAGTCAGCCTAGAAGCCAGAAAGATCTTTCCTACCCCTGACCAATACTGGCCGCTCGTGGTCCTGGGTGAATCACTTGAACTGAGGCCATTCTGTAATAAGAATATACATTCTAGGGAAGTAGAGGAAGTTTTCTCCTGTGGCAATTCCTTATATCCAAGAAATCACAAATCTCTTTCCTATCCCTGCTATGTGCTAAGCACTGAAGATAGAAAAACAAAAATGAAATAATCCCTATCCTTACAGAGCTTATATTCTATTGGAAGAGACCGCATACACATATGAAAATATGTCAGCGTTAATCTGTGGTCATTTTTTGAGGGGGAAGGGAAGAGAGCATTACCAGCTGGCCAGGATTAGCAGCCCAAATTTCAATCCTTCTGAAGCTATAGAATTAGATGACTCATAGAAACAAAACACTACAGAAAAAATATTCCTGTTAAAAGGATGCTTGCAGGCAGAAGCTTTGGGGTCATTAAGAGAGCTCTGTGCAATTTCCCAAAGGCAATCTGGCCCCCACTTCCCTTCTTTGGCATTCTGGGGCCCAGCTCCAGATTATGATATGCAATTGGATGGACAACCCAGAGTGACCATCCATCAATACCTATTTCTCGAGCCCTGCAAATATTTGTTAAATAATATGATAATGACAATCATAGCTAACATTTATATAGTGCCTACTATGTAATGGGTACTGTGTTAAGCACTTTATAAACATTATCTCATTTACATCATTAAAAAAAAAACCCTAGGAGATAGGTGCTATTATTATCCCAATTTTACAGATGAAAAAAATGGAGGCATTTAACTGAGACTAAATGATTTGCCCATGGTCACTCAGCTAGTAAGTGTCTGAGGCCAGATTTGAACTCAAGTTTTCCTGACTCATGACCTGGCACTCCATCAGTTGAACCACTTAATAACATTTGAGAGGTCATATTGTGTGACTGGATATCTGGCCTAAGAGCCAGGAAGACTTGGGTTAGAGCATTGGATTTGATGTCATTAAGACCTCAATCCAGATCCTGTCTCAGACACTAGTTGTGTGACCCTGAGCAAGTCATTTAACCTCTCAGGCCTTCTTTCAACTCTGAATCCATAATCCTGTGGCCCTTTATTAGGTCCTGCCTTTGACACATACTGGCTCTGTGACTCTAAAATCACCTAACTTGTCGCTGCCCCAGGCAGCTGTCTGAGGTGCAGAGAAGGTGCCAGTCCCCCTTGGCCCACTCCCCACAATAGGGGATTCTCTTGTGAACTCCTACCAGTGAATTCTCAGAGCCAGTCTCTATTCTAGACTGTTTCTTAAGACTCGAGGTGGAGCGGCAAAGTCAAACTCATGTAGAAACTCAGCTACTAATCCATGCATAAGGATCCCTGCAGCCTGCATGTTGAGTTAATTTTAAAACGTGATATTCACTACCTTTTATTGTATTTTTCTTTATTTTGTTAAATATTTCCCAATTACTTTTTAATCTGGTTGGGGGCACCCTGGGAAGTGTTGTTTGAGGGCATCCTGCAGGCAACTAGGCTGTTTGATATTTCTGGTGTAGAGCATAAGAAGTTACTTATTTCAGGTTCCCAAGAACCTGTGATATTTTCAGAAACTCTCATAGGGTTTGCTCTGACTCGTGGTTTGGAATTTAGAACTCTCCTGTTCTCTCTACTTCCCGTCTTTCTAAAAGCACACAGCAGAAGTCTTAGGAATTAAAGATCTTCAAGAAGAGATCAAAATGCTTTTTTAACATAGAAAAAGAGGGACTTTGAATCAACTAAAGATTCTACTGTTATCATTTTCTCTTCTCATTGCAACTTGGCTGTGCCACGGAGGCCTGGAATTGGAGTCAGGGGACTTGAGTCAAGAACATTCATATTCATCATTATTCGTATTTTTGACAGGCAGTGCAGTATAGTGAATAGAGCTGACTTGGGAGTCAGGAAGTCCAGGGTTCAGGTTCTGCCTTTGACACACACTGGCTGCTTGACCCTGAGCAAGTCACTTAACTTGATACCACTTCCGGGAACTCTGTAAGACTATAAGTTATAGAGCAGGCACTTCTCTGAATAGGTAGAGAGAATTTCCTAGCTAGGAGTTCCTTACACCAATGAAATCTCTGTTCTAATCCAAAACCAATAATTTTCATAGGACTCTAAGATCAGCCAGTCTACATATTGGCTGTGAGATCATGAGCAAGTTATTTAACCACCTTGAAACCCAATTTCTTCATCTGTAAAATGGAAATTAATAATACTTTTTCCTATTTATCCCCACAGGGTTGTTGTGAGGAAAGGGCTCCATAAGCCCTAAAGAGTTATATAAATGTGAGCTACTATGGTCATCCCAGCCCCTTGAACAGACCTGAAGTCTGTCCCCTTATGCCAATTATTTAGTGCTCTGGAAATTACTTTTTTCTTTAAATGAACTATGCCACAACTCCAGATCAGAGTTTCAGATTTACTGCTGTATTCACTTCTGGGTGTGGCTGGGGGCAGGGTTTGGGGAAGGGAGAAAAGAATGTGTCTTAATATAGTATGTCAAGGGGATCATCTCTTAATGCACAGCAAAACCTTGACCCAGTTTTGCATCTTCCCATTCTTAGGTAGGGCCCTTACCACCCCCAAGGCATTGCCCCTTACAGCAGTATAGCCTGTAACACACTTGGAAATTCTTTCCATGTCTTCGTTGCCTCCAATTACTCCCATTTTCATGTTCCCTTGAAGTCATTTCTGGGATCCCAGTAAAACAGAATTCCTGCATATTGCTCTACCATATGGTCAAAGAACCCCTTTCTAAAAGCTTTGCCTTTATAGCTAGTAGCTGCTTTTAGCCCACTTAAGAGGCAGAAAGAGAAGGATATTAGGTCAAAGTTGATTAACCAGTGCCTTGACCTTAAACATGATTCTGAGGGTCTTCCCTGGTCATGAGGCCATTAGATGCAAAGGGGGCAGGAGAGAATTGTAAGGCAACCTTCACTGAATGCCACTATACTTAACCATTTGTACCACTACTGCCTCTTGGCATCATCAGCATTGTGATCCCTAAATCATGATTTATAAGCCAGGCCCTCCAAACTGAACTGGTTAGAGCCATACTCTTTTGTTGAGTAGGAAAATGCTGACGCAGGTTCGTTGAATACAAACCCCTACCTGAGTCACCCATCATTCTAGGCATGGAGCCAGCTAGCCTAGTGATAGATGATACCACTAATACAGCTGCCACCAGGCTGCTTTATCACAGCAGAGAAATTTTATTTATCATATGCCGGACTTTTGGAGAAACCACATCCAGGGTAATACAACCTGTTTTTAAGTTTTCATTTTTATGTACCCTGTAAGTAAAATGTATGTATCACTGTTTAGGGTCTTAATTATTTGTTTCTTTCAGAAACCTGAGACAAGAAGTTAGGTTCATAAAAAAGAGTGGTATGAGAAGATGCTTCCATCTATTTAGCATGGAAAGGGAATTTTATAGTAAATAATGTCTTCATATCCCAACTTAAAAGATACCTTCCAGTGAAGAGGTTCTGATGAATGAACTGTTTTGGATTTACACCTTAAACTATTTTATCATTGCCTCTGTTTGCTTTCTTAAAACGTGAAAATTCATTTCATAAATTCAGCCCTGATGTACTCATTGTATACCTTTTTCCTCTTTGTACAGGAAGGCAGAGATGCCAATGCTCCCATCCTTAACAGAGGAAGCAACGGATTAGCTCCTGGGGGTGACAGATTCAAACCTGTGGTACCTTGGCCCCACGTGGAAGGGGTAGAAGTGGACTTGGAATCTATTAGAAGAAAAAACAAAGCCAAAAATGATCAAGAGCATCAAGCTGGAGGTGTCAACCAGCAAAACGCCCTCCAGAGACAATATCTCACTTTTAAGCCTCAGACACTGACCTACCATGATCCTGTGCTCCGCCCAGGAATCATTGGTAATTTTGAACCCAAAGAACCTGAACCTCATGGTGTTCTTGGTGGCCCTGGAGAGGAAGCAAAGCCATATGTCTTGGGACCAGACTACAAAGAGTCCATTCATGCCAGCATTAAAGAGTTTGGATTTAACATGGTGGCAAGTGATTTGATCTCACTAGACCGCAGCATCAATGACTTGCGACAGGAAGAGTAAGCAGATGCCTCTTACTATTCTGTTTAGGAGTAGTTTGGTTTGGGGTTTGCAAAGGCATAGTTTTTTTTTTTTTTTTAAAGGGAGATATTTATTTCTTTCAAAGGGACTAATTGGGCTACTGGTAGTTCAAAGTGGTGGCTCTCTGGAGACAGGGGTAGGTGAGTAGGAATGTGCTTTACAATCTTTTAGATTACTAATTGAGGGTTCAGGTAAGATTTCCATCTAACTAATTAGAGACATATTTATTTGCATTAACTTTCCAGTACTATTTTCCCTGACCTTTTCAACGGTGTTTTCTTTATCTTCTTTCTCTCAGAAATCTCCTCTCCTCCAGCATCTGGTATCTTGTGCTTTAAAAAAAAACAAACAAAAAAAAACAAAAACTGATCTAGTTATTTCCGTCCATAATCTGCAGTCTTTCTAGTTTCATTTTGTAGATGTTTACAGTTTTGCCATCTGTTTATCTATATTCTTCCTCTCTTTCTCCAGTTTTATTTATTGGGATCCACTAGAACTCCATTAGTTTAAGACAAACTGAATAAAGCCTTATTCTTGCCTCTTTTGCCCTGTGGCTTAGTAAAAAGAGTGATGTACTTCAAGTCCAAAGACCTTGCTAGGTTCAGAAAGCCCCCTTCCCCTTCATCCACCTATTGGGCAAGTTACTTCACCTTTTTAAGCCTCACTTTCCCTATCTGTAAAGGGAGCATAATTCTGTTTGCATTACCTATGTCCTGTCTGTTGTGGAGAATCAAAGGCATTGATTCTTGTGAAAGGATTTCATGACAGCAAAGCACTGTATAAGCTCTATGAGCACTCTTTGCCCTCCTCCTCTCTTGGTCCTGCTAGGAGAAATTACAAGGGATTGTGTTGGCTTTGTCCCTTAATTAGAATTTACAGTATCATAGAATTTCAAAATATAGAATGTATAGTGCTAATGATTTGATATGAGGTCACATCCTGCCTCTGACCCTTACTAGCTGTATAACCGCGTTGCCCATTTAACCTTTCTAAGTATCTAACTCCCTTCATTTTACAGATGGGTTCTTCTGTAAAATAAAGGGAATGGGATTAGATGGCATCTGAGGGCCTTTCAGACTCTGAATCTATGATCCTGTGATCTTCCATAATTTCTTCCTTTTAAAAATCAGAAAAGTAAAGTTTTCATTTCTTTTAACATTTGATGTTATCATTCCATTTGTTCTCCCTGTTATCATTTAAGAAGAAATCAGGACCACCGTTCCCTAATAATTAATGGATGTGTCCAGACATATGCCTTCTGTTAAATCATCAAGATGTATGAGAATTTGTTACATGAGTGCTTTCACATTCTTCCTTAACTACATTTTGTAGCTCCCAGCAGCCTTTTTTGGAATCTGAATTCTTACCACAACTGGCTTTCTGTGGGAAAACCCTTCTTAACAGTGAGATTATTTAGAAAGAACAATTTAAAAACCATCATAGTGGCTACTCTACCTTGTTCATAAGCCACAATGAGGAAGATCATAAGAGCATGCTTTTAAAAATAGACCTACAGAAAGAAAACAACTGGTTCTTTCGGACTGTGAATTGGCAGGATAATGTGCACATTAGCCACCCTTCCTGACTTTGTGCAATCTGCACATTCAACATAGTGGTTCTCAAACACTCATCAAGGACAGAAGTGCAGGATTCCATGGAATGTGCAGGTATTCAGACCATCAATAGCCCACAGGTCTGGCCAGCCCTACCTTGTTGCTTGCTTAGCTAGAGAAGTGAGCTTTTTTCGCCCCATTATCTTGCCACTGTTACACTGGAAACCAACCAACCATAGATTTTGATGCCAAGTTTTGGGTTGCTTTTGCAGCTGTGGCATCTGACACCGTGGCTAGCTTCTTTGTTACTGTGACTGCTTTTGTCTTTTCAGACGAGTGTTCTCCATACTCAAAACCCAGTACAGAACTGTCCAGCTGCTCGCTTGACTCATGCTTATGTACACTGTGGTTGTGAATTACACTCACTGAGTAATTTACTAGCTGTTGATTGCTTATTAAAGGGATTGAATGACCGCTTTTTGGAAGGAGCTATGTACAGGTCTTTTTTTTTTTTTATCAGTGGGTTGAGCCAAAAATGACTTCACCTACCTTACTATTTTCTATAAAAATTCTTGTATTTTCTTCTCGTACAATTAGAAACTTAGGGCTCTTCCCTCTCCCACCACATTACTGTGAATGGATACTTTAGAAACCCATTATTTTCTTTGCACGTTTCTCCTTCCACAAAGTCACAAAATCAGAGGTATATAATCTAAAGCCTTTGTTTTGAATTTTTGAAAGATGCAATAGTCATGACTTCTTCAGTGGATTAAATATTAAACTTTTTCTGCTACCTCAATTGCATTTATAAAACAAGACAGTAGATCATAGAATATCATTGGTTTATAGCTTTGGAGCTGGAAGGGACCTTTGAGGATTTGAGAGAAGTTTGAAAAAGCCAAGTATTACATAAATCATAGATTTAGAACAGGAAAGTACGTTAGAAGCCTTCTTATCCAAACCCTTCATTTTAGAGATGAAGAAACTGAGCCATGGGCAAGTGAAGGGACTTGTCCAAGGTCAACTAGCTAATAAGTATTGGAGGCAATAGTTGAACTTGACTTTCAGTTCAGTGTCCTATCCACTAAAAACCATGCTTCTAATAACAATAATAATAATAATAATGATAATGATAAGCACTTTAAAGTTTGCAAAGCACATTACAAATGTCGCATTTTATCCTCTCAACAACCTAGAATGGTAAGGTGCTAACCCAGTTTTACAGATGATGAAACAGGCAGACAGGTCAAATGATTTGTCTAGGCTTACATAGCTAGTAAGTGTCTGAGGTAAAATTTGAGCCCAGATCTTCCTGACTTAAAAAGCCCAACACTCTATCCACTATGTCACCTATATGCCTTTTATTTACTGATAATTTCATTCTGATTGTCAGTGGGATGTTTCTGTTTTTAAGGAATGCCTGTCTTCCAACAGAAATTATTTTTAGCTCTGTTTCATTCCATAATAAATAGTAACTCTATTTATTTTAGTTTATTGACTTAAACTGCATTGTTAAGGCTTCCTCTCCTACCCATTCCTGTTTTAACAAAGAAATCCTTCATCTGTACCAAGATATTTAAAATCCATTCATCCAGTTGGTAAAATTATTGTGATCCTTTTTCCAGTGGGTTTAAAGTCAAATCCTAACTACTGTTCATGATCAAGATTACAGATTGCCTTCTGAGCAGCCTGTCATTTTGGGGGGGATTCTGTTAAGGGAACTAAATGAAGTTATTTGAAAATAACTTCTAAGGGCAGCGAGGTGGTGCAGTGGATAGAACACCAGTCCTGAAGTCAGGAGAACCTGGGTTCAAATCCAGCCTCAGACCAAACATTTGACTTTAACTAGCTGTGTGACCCTGGGCAAGTCACTTAACCCCAATTACCTAAAAAAAAAGAAAGAAAATAACTTCTAATAAGAGTTACCAGATACATTTGGATGTATCTTGAATAAGATAACATTTGTAAAGCACTTAGCACAGTGCCTGGTACCTAGTAGGTGCTTAATAAATGATTGTTCCCCTTCCTACAAGATTGTTCCATATTTCAGTGTTTTGATTGTCAGACTATATATTGACCCCATATCCTATATTTGAATCTGGTTAGAGATTTACTGTTGGCATGTCATCATCCCTTCCTTCTCCAGCACACCTACAATGTGCCCCAGGCCTTCTACACTAAAGTTTGCCACCCTTGGTTCCAATCCCCAAGAAGCACTTAAGAAAAAAAAAATAGTTTCACATGACTTGTGATAGACATGCCGTTGGTGTTCTTTCCCCCAAAATACTACTCTCTAGCTGACCTCAGCCTGAAATTTGTTGCTACAAATACAGCTTTTGGGTATGTACAGGGAATTTCCAGACTAATTTAAAATGAAGTAAATTCTCATACCAGTATTTCCCCTTCTTTCCTGCTCACCCAGAGTGAAAACAGCACTGGATTTGGAGGCAGAGTTCAAAGATTCAGCTCTGACTTTTAAAAGCTGTATGATCTAGGCAAATCACTTAGCCTGTCCTAACCTCAGTTACTTCATCCGTAAAATGAAGGAACTGTACTAGATGACCTTTAAGATTCCTTTTGACTCCAAATTTGGGTTCACCTTTTCAACAAGCTCCCTCTACTCCATTTATCCTGGAGGCAACAGTCACAGTTACCAAAAGAAGAGAGTTAACTAGGTAATTGCACCTCTATTTTGTGCACTTACATACGTATACATGTGTGTATATACTTCATACTACTACCGTTGTTATCCAGTCATTTCAGAGTGTCTGACTCTCTGTGACTTCATTTGGGGTTTTCTTGGCATTTGCCATTTCCTTCTCTCTCTCAGATGAGGAAACTGAGGCAGACAGGGTGAAGTGTCTTGCCCCAGGGTAACACTGCTAGTAAGTCTCTAAGGCTACCTTTGAATGAACTCAGGACTGTCTGACTCCAGGCCTGATACTTTATCTACTGTGCCACCTAGCTGTAACTTAATTTTGTTTTTTTGGTTTTTTTTTTTGGCTAGGCAGTGGGGTTAAGTGACTTGCCCAGTGTCACACAGCTATTAAGTGTTATGTGTCTGAGGCTGGATTTGAACTCCGGTCCTCCTGACTTCAGGGCCAGTGCTCTATCCACTGTGCCGCCTAGCTGCCCCTGTAACTTAATTTTGTACAATTAATATTGCATAATTAAGTATAGTTGTATGATATGTGTGTGTCTGTGTGTATCACACTACTGCATTTAATTTTTTCCACTCTAGTAGCAGTAGTAGTAGTAGTAGTAGTAGTAGTAGTAGTAGTAGTAGTAGTAG